TCCCTATTTTCTGCATGTAAACTGACATTTTCCAAGCCACCATCAGTTCTGAGGAAGGGTCACTAGACCCAAAACGTTAACTCTGTTTTCTCCTTCACAGATGCTGCCAGACCTGCTGAGCTTTTCCAGCAACTTTGTTTTTTGTTCCTGATTTACAGCATCCGCAGTTCTTTTGGTTTTTATTTAGTACACCCTGGACCCCATGCGACTTCACTTTCTCCATCAGCCTACCATGAGGAACCTTATCAAACGCCTCACTGAAGTCCATGTATATGATATCTACAGCCCTTCCCTCATCTATCAACTTTGTCACTTCCTCAAAGAATTCTATCAAGTTGGTAAGACATGACCTTCCCTGCACAAAACCATGCTGCCTATCACTGATAAGCCCATTTTCTTCCAAGTGTAAATAGCTCCTATCCCTCAGTATCTTCTCCAGCAGCTTCCCCACCACTGACGTCAGGCTCACCGGTCTATAATTACCTGGATTATCCTTGCTACCCTTCTTAAACAAGGGGACAACATTAGCAATTCTCCAGTCCTCCAGGACCTCATCCGTGCTCAAGGATGCTGCAAAGATATCTGTTAAGGCCCTAGCTATTTCCTCTCTCGCTTCCCTCAGTAACCTGGGATAGATCCCATCCAGACCTGGGGACTTGTCCACCCTAATGCCTTTTAGAATACCCAACACCTCCCCCCCTCCTTATGGCAACTTGACCTAGAATAATCAAACATCTATCCCTAACCTGAACATCCGTCATGTCCCTCTCCTCAGTGAATACTGACGCAAAGTACTCATTAAGACTCTCACTCATTTTCTCTGACTCCTCGCATAACTTCCATCCTTTGTCCTTGAGTGGGCCAACCCTTTCTCTAGTTATCCTCTTGCTCCTTATGTACAAATAAAAGGCTTTGGGATTTTCCTTAATCCTGTTTGCTAAAGATATTTCATGACCTCTTAATTCCTCGTTTCAGATTGGTCCTACTTTCCCGATATTCTTCCAAAGTTTCGTCTGTTTTCAGTCGCCTAGACCTTATGTATGCTTCCTTTTTCCTCTTTGATAGTCTCACAATTTCACCTGTCATCCATGGTTCCCTAATCTTGCCCTTTCTATCCCTCATTTTCACAGGGAACTGTCTGTCCTGCACTCTAATCAACCTCTCTTTAAAAGCCTCCCACATATCAAATGTGGATTTACCCTCAAACAGCTGCTTCCAAACCACATTCTCCAGCTCCTGCCGAATTTTGCTATAGTTGGCCTTCCCCTAGTTCAGCGCTCTTCCTTTAGGACCACTCTCGTCTTTGTCCATGAGTATTCTAAAGCTTACAGAATTGTGATCACTATTCCCAAAGTAATCCCCTACTGAAACTTCAACCACCTGGCCGGGCTCATTCCCCAACACCAGGTCCTGTATGGCCCCTTCCCGAGTTGGACTATTTATATACTGCTCTAGAAAACCCTCCTGGATGCTCCTTACAAATTCTGCTCCATCTAAACCCCTAACACTAAGTGAATCCCAGTCAATGTTGGGAAAATTAAAATCTCCCATCACCACCACCCTGTTGCTCCTACATCGTTCCATAATCTGTCTACATATTTGTGCCTCTATCTGACGCTTGCTGTTGGGAGGCCTGTAGTACAGCCCCAACTTTGTTACTGCACCCTTCCTATTTCTGAGCTCTGCCCATATTGCCTCACTGCTCGAGTCCTCTATCGTGCCCTCCTTCAGCACAGCTGTGATATCCTCTTTGACCAGTAATCAACTCCTCCACCCCTTTTACCTCCCTCTCTATGCCGCCGGAAGCATCTATATCCTGGGATATTTAGTTGCCAATCTTGCCCTTCCCTCAACCAAGTCTCTCTAATAGAAATAACATCATACTCCCAGGTACTAATCCAAGCCCTAAGTTCATCTGCCTTACCTACTACACTTCTCACATTAAAACAAATGCTCCTCAGACCACCTGTCCCTTTGCGTTCATCATCTGCTCTCTGCCTCCTCTTCCCCTTAGTCACACTGACTTCATTATCTAGTTCCTTACAGGCTTTAGTTATTACCTCCTTACTGTCCACTAACCTCATTTGGTTCCCATCCCCCTGCCACATTAGTTTAAACCCTCCCCAACAGCGTTAGCAAAAGCACCCCCTAGGACATTGGTTCCAGTCCTGCCCAGGTATAGACCGTCCGATTTGTAATAGTCCCACCTCCCCCAGAACCGGTCCCAATGTCCCAAAAATCTGAACCCCTCCCTCCTGCATCATCTCTCAAGCCACTCATTTATCCTGCTTATTCTTTCATTTCTACTCTGACTAGCACGTGGCACTGGTAGCAATCCTGAGATTACTACCTCTGAGGTCCTACTTTTTAACTTGGCTCCTAACTATCTAAATTCTGTTTGTAGGACCTCATCCCGTTTCTTACCTATATCATTGGTGCCTATATGCACCACGGCAGCTGGCTGTTCACCCTCCCCCTTCAGAATGTCCTGCAGTCGATCTGAGACATCCCTGACCCGTGCAACTGGGCGGCACCATACCATTCGGGAGTCTCGTTTTCAACCACAGAACCGCCTATCTACTCCCCTTACAATCGAATCCCCTCTGACTATAGCCCTTCCACTTTTTTTCCCGTCCCTCTGTACAGCAGAGTCAGCCACGGTGCCATGAATCTGGCCACTGCTGCCTTCCCCTGGTGAGCCATCTCCCCCAACAGTATCCAAAACGGTATACCTGTTTTGGAGGGAGATGACCGCAGGGGACACCTGCACTTCCTTCCTGCTTTTTCTCTGTCTTTTGGTCACCCATTCCCTTTCCCCCACAGCAATCCTAATCTGTGGTGTGACCAATTTGCTGAACGTGCTATCCACGACTTCCTCAGCATCGTGGATGCTCCAAAGTGAGTCCATCCGCAGCTCCAGAGCCGTCATGCGGTCTAACGAGAGCTGCAGCTGGACACACTTCCTGCACGTGTAGGAGTCAGGGACATGAGCCGCGTCCCTGAGCTCCCACATTGAGCAAGAGGAGCATAACGCTGGTCTGGGATCTCCTGCCATTTTTACTCTTAAGCTTAGCTTCGTCCTACTATAATATCAAATATAGATAAATGAAATGAAAAATTTATTACCAATCACTACTTACCAGCACACGATAAAAAAAAGAAAAAGAAAAACCTTAGCTTCTCAACACACTGCAGAGTCTTTTTTTTGGTTAGAGGAGGAGGGTGGGTGGGAGACACTGCGCGTGTCGTGTCTTGGGTTTAGCCACTGCCCAAATATATCAGTTCACTCACCTTCTCAGAGTGCAATTTGACCACTCCCACTCAGCTCTGCTGCCAAAAAGAAGGGCTTACCATCCCGGCAGCCCCCTGGTCCTCGCTGTCACCGCTCCAGCTGCGGCTGCGAAAATGGAAGTTTGGTATGACAAAATCCCCCCAGTCCTCACATACCACCCCACCAACCTCCACTTCCAATGCATCATCCTCTGCCATTTCCGCCACCTACAATCTGAGATATTTCCCTCCCCACCCCTATCTGTCTTTCGTAGGGACTGCTCACTCCATGACTCCCTTGTCCGCTCCATACTCCCCATTTATCCCACCACCCCCGGCACCTTTCCCTGCAACCTCAGGAAGTGCTACACCTGCCCCTACACCTCTCCCCTCACCTCTGTCCAAGTCCCCAGACAAACTGTCCACATTAGACCAGGGTTCACCTGTATGTTCTCCAACCTGGTCTACTGGCCTCCTCTATATCAAGATGAGACCAAGCGCAGGCTCAGTGACAGATTGGCGGAGCATCTGCGCTCTGTATGCTATAACCAACAACATCTTCTGGTCGTCAACCATTTTAACTCCCTCTCCCACCCTCTGGGAGACACGTCCATCCTGGTCCTCCTCCAGTGCCACAATTACATCCCACACAAACTGGAGGAGTAGCACCTCATATTCCGCCTCAGGAGCCTACAGCCCAACGGCCTAAACATGGATTTCACCAGTTTCAAAATGTCCCCACGCCCGGCCTCCTCCCATGGCCAGCCCTCCCTCTCATCCCCGCCTCCTTGACCTGACACAACCTGTCCATCTTCTCTCCCACCTATCTGCCCCACCCTTCCCACCAACCAATCTCCACTACCCCCTACCTGCATCCACCTATCACCATCCCACCTACCTTCCCCCCAGCCTCTTCCCTCTATTTTATTCCCAACTCCCTTCCCCCTCCCCAGTCCTGATGAAGGGTGCAGGCCCAAAACATCGGCTTTCCTGCCCCTCTGATGCTGCCTGACCTGCTGTGTTCCTCCAGCTCCACACTGTATCGACTCTGACTCCAGCATCTTGCTATCTCCAAGGCATTTGGTACGCTTGCCTTTATTGGGTAGTGCATTGAGCATCAGAGTTGGGAGGTTATGTTGCAGCTGTACAGGACATTGGTTAGAGCTGCTTTTGTAATACTGTGCTCAATTCTGATCTCCCTGCTGTACGAAATGTGTTAAACTTGAAAAGGTTCAGAAAAAATTTCCAAGGATGTTACCAGGACTGGAGGGTTTGAGCTATAGGGAGAGGCTAAATAGACTGGAGCTACTTACCCTGGAGCATTGGAGGCTGAGGGGTGACCTTATAGAGGTTTATAAAATCATGAGGGGCATGGATAGAGTGAATAGACAAGGTCTTTTGTCCAGGGTAGGGGAGTCCAAAACTAGAGGGGCATAGGATTAAGGTGAGAGGGGAAAGATTTAAAAGAGACCTGAGGGGTAACTTTTTCACGCAGAGGGTGGTGTGTGTATGGAATGAACTGCCCGAGGAAGTGGTGGGGGCTGGTACAATTGCAACATTTAAAAGGCATCTGGATGGGAACGTGAATTAGAAGGTTTGGAGGGGTATGGGCCAAATGCTCGCAAATGGGGCTAGATTAATTTAGGATATCTGGTCAGCATGGGCGAGTTGGACCGAAGGGTCTGTTCTCATGACGTACAGCTCTATGACACTCTGCCACCCCTCCCCAGGTGACAGTAGGTGCGATGTGGTTGTGATTCTTGAGGAACGACAAACAGCACCCGAGTTTGGAGAATGGATGGATGCTGTTTCCAGTCATGCCAGAGGATCTGTGAACTTCAGGAAGCTGGAGCTGCATCAGGGTGTGGAACGACTGCAGTCTCTCGGAGTGATATTCCAGGGCACTTATCTCAAGGTAACACAGATTCCTCAGAGCAGGACATGTCAGAGGCACATTGCCTTGCTATGTGGAGAGAGAGGCTGCACCTCAGGATGGGGAGTATAGAACTTTAGGATAAAAATATGGAGACATTAATGGGGCAAGTGAGGAGGGAGCTTTAATCTGTAAAATAACTGAGACACAGCAACTATTTTACACACAGCAAGCTCCCGTAAAGAAATCAATGACTACATAAACTGTTGGTGATGGATAAATATTGGCACTGACCCTCCAACAGTATCCATTCCTTCGGCACTGACCCTCCAACAGTATCCATTCCTTCGGCACTGACCCTCCGACAGTATCCATTCCCTCAGCACTGACCCTCCGACAGTATCCATTCCCTCAGCACTGACCCTCCGACAGTGCGGCGCTCCCTCAGCACCGACCCTCCGACAGTGCGGCACTCCCTCAGCACCGACCCTCCGACAGTGCGGCGCCCCCTCAGCACCGAC